TGAATTAATCTCATTTTGGTTTATATACATGCTAGGTGTAAAGTTAGCCATTTATAAGAGAATATGCAAACACATCACATGCTTTTTTGGTTGTTAGTAATAACATGGACGACAAGCGTAGTTAGTGAAACACATATATGAACTATAGGGGTGTGTAATGATATTTCAGATACCAAATGGGATGTCAGTGAAATACCACCTAAAATACAGGAGATGTCAATAAAATTTACCCTATAACTATTGTCAGAGCATTTCCAACTCTCCTCTTTTTTGTACCTTTTTTTTTAAAAAAAAAGTAAAAATTTTTTAAAAATCTTCTCCAATACTAGTCCTATATCCATACTAAATGAAGAATTTTTCCTTTTTAAACCCAAATCAAAGGAGATTCAAATCCTTACCTTTTTTATCAATGGTGAGATTACATCCTTTTTTAAAGATCCAACAATTATATTTATTCTCTTTTAAATTTGAATTTGTTTTTATTTAAAAAAAAAGTTTTTCTTCCTTTAAATTTGAATTTTTCTATTGGAAAAGTTTATACCAAATCAAATTTTTTATTTTTTTTTTAACTCAAATTTAAGTAAGAGTTTGGATCTCCGTTGAAAATGATGTCAGTTCTAATTTTATTAACATCCATTGTTTACTTAAACATTGGGTCCTTGTGGTAAGAAGGACATTGCATCTAAAATATGGAGAATCTTGGTGGACTAAGCAACGACAAGAACAAAGAACTAAACAAGTTACAAAGAACAAAGGAACCAAAAAAGCTATAACGAATGAACCCACCACCCACAAAGTGCAATGAACAAATCAAAGATTTGAAAAGCCAGTTCAATGACAAGAGCATCGTTCTAATAAAATCATAGGCATGTGTTGTGCATGTGCAATAATTGTACCAAACTCTGCCTAATAATTATAAAAAAGAGAAAAATAATGCTGTCATTTCAACTAAATTATCAAAAAGAGAAAAATAATGCTGTCATTTCATTATGAATATGACATGGTTATAAAAATAATTAAATAAAACAATAACAAATAAATTAGATTAGCATTAGATGTGAATAACTGGTTTAATAGGTTTTATAATAAATAATAAAATTGTTGGTACCAAATTCTAATCGGTTAATTAATTAAAAGAATATATGCTATTTACCTTACGAGACCTTTCATTCAAATTCAATTAAAACCAAATCAAAAAACATTTAGTTCTAAAACAATAATAAAATACTTGTTTTCCTAGCATTGAATTAAAAGAAAATTAGTGTTGTATAATTGTTTTAGAACTAAACAAATTTTGATTTGGTTATAAATGAATTTGGAGGGAAAGATTTTTAATTTATGGAAGATCTACATTTAGTTAATGTAATTGAGAAATATATAAAACAAATAATTTTCGCCGGGGAGGAGGGGTGTATTGAGATAATTTAATAGAATTTTAAATTATTTAATTAACTAACATCCAATCAATTCTCACCACTTGGACATTTAAACCTAAAATGCTTTTAAAATTTTTTCTATAGATACCCAATAGGTGTGTCACTCTATTTCATCTCTTTTTGGTTATCATATGTCGTTTTAACCTATTTTTAAATTCAATAAAAAAAAAACTACTTTCAAATGTGAATTTCTCTTCATCTTTCTTAACTATTTCACGTTTATTTTTATTTTTTTAAATAAGTACATTGATGAACAATTATCCAATAAAGTTAAGGTTGGGATAGGTGTAGAGTTGATGGTTGGGGTAGACATAGAATAGTGGTGAAAAAAAATATAAATTTCGTTCATTGTACGCGACGTATTTTAGTTGAGAAATAACAATCTTAGTTTATTTATGGTTTATAGAGATATAAAATAATATGATCTAAATACAAGGTTATAATCACAAAAAAAAAAAATCGGAACTAATTACATCGTTTGTGAATGAGATTGTGACAGGCCACAACATGTTTGAGAGGAATTCTAAATTGATAATCATACATTTTTTAGGGTACAGTACAGACATCAACATCGGTACCAGAGCCTCTCCCGTGAGTGTAAAGTAGTAAGTATGGTGGTGGATAGAGACCATTGACGAGGACTAACCATTTCTGTCGTCAACGATTGATGATGGCAATGGCAGGAACTAGTCTCAGATTTTCTCATTGGAATACTATGCAATTTGGATAAAAAGACAGGCTGTATAATTTAGGACACTTTAAAATTCAAGGTATGTATTGAATCAACTTGTATTGTGTCGTATTGTATTTATATTTAATTAAAATAATTCGTATGTAAAAATATATTAAAAAATATAAATTAATTTTAAGAGAGATGTTAGTAACCGTCAGAGGTGGCTTGATATGTTTTGAGCCCTAAAGCAATAAATACAATTGAGACTTTTTTTTAATAATAGTGTAAATTTTTTAATATTTAATTTTTTTTTTTACGAATGCATATTAATTGTTTAGTATTTGTAATGAAGTTTTTTAAACATATTTTTTTTTATTGATACTATAATTAATTGACTTAATTTTTAAATTAAATAAAAAAATTTCAAAACTTTCAAATTCAAAGATTATTTGACAGATTATATTGTCTCGTCATTGACACTCTTGTAAAATTATTTTTCTATGAATTAGACATTACTCACGAAATAAATGTTTGCTTATGTTTTTTAAGATTATGATAAAATGACAATGTTACATAAACCTTATTTGACGACTTTATCATTTTTTGTCATTAGATTGACGGTGAATTCTATTATTAGTTGGGACCCACTATTAATTCCACAGCTATGATCTATCACGTCACCAGATAAGATAAGATAATTAAATTAAGTACAAAATATATTTTCTTTTTTTTTCTTGAAAAATGTTATTGTGTGAGATTAATGGATTAAATTTTTAGGTCCAAAATCAATCTAGAGTTTTTTTTGTTGCTTTAGGCCTTCATATTGGGCTTTATAAGGCTAATTTTAATGGGTTAAAATTGACTTAGACTATAGTTATAGACTTTTTAAATTTGGGATTTAAATTTTGAGGCCTTCTTTATTGGTGGGGCCTAAAGTCACTGCTTCTTTTCCTCCACAGATGGGCCGGCTTTGGAGGCCGTTGAATGAGTATATTAGATACCGTCAAATAAATTTATTAAAATCCGACTTAGTTTATATTATAAATTATAAATGTGATTTAGTAGCTTATCTTTAAATTATTTTGTCTTTAGTTTTTATACAAACTCGATCTATTTACCAATTGTATCGTGTTCGGAATATGAATCAACATACATAATCTCTAAATCAAAAATTCACGGATTAAGAATTTATCTGTTAATTAAACCCACTTTAAATAACCGCCTTAATTCCAAAAAAAACAACTCAAAAACATCAACTCGTATGAGATAGTAAAATAAGCTAAATAAATAAATATTATTTATATAATATCACTTAAACAGAATTTTGTCGTATCAAATTCTAATAATACGTGTTTAATACTACTGTAATTTACTCGGATGAGATGGTCATAGGGACTTATTTGAAACATCAAGTGTTAACAGTCCCTGTAGGTAGTTATACGGTGACTGCACACCTATTTAAATCAAATCTATAAAATAAAATAAAATAAATTTTAATAAATTTATTCGACGATTTTAAATAGACTCATTCAACAGTCACTAATATATCGCTCAAAATCAAATTACGCCATACCTTCAGGCACAAATTACCCTAATAAATACATATTTCGACGTTCTAATTAATATATAATTTCTCTCACCAAAACATTGAGCCATGCTTTATGGTTCATGGGTCATGGGTCATGGATGAATGCATTTCCGTTATAAAGTCTTTCTCTTTCTAACATGATCAACATCCTGTCTTTTCCTTTTTGGTCAAGAAAATCTGCTATCAAAAACAACGAATTTCAGGCTTGTGGACGACGACTGTCTCTAGGGTGTCTCCTTTGAGTTGAATTTATTAGCTTGTTTGGAAAACCTGGTCAAAATATTGATGTTAGACACAAACATCTTTGTGCATGAATGTTGTCATTTTGCCCATAGTTTGTGGCCATATTTCCTCTACTATCACCACTTGTTTATAGGAGATGCATATCATTTGGAAAGCTAGTTACGACGTAAGAGCCTATTTCAGATATGCACAATCTTGCATTCATGTACGGAGAAATTATTGTTATGAATCGATCATAAAATCACTATATCCTTAAAAAAGCAATGAAAAGACTCATGTTATTATAGTGTTTAAGAAATTTGAAATAAACATAATCTTACCTTCACGTATAAAAAAATTGTTCTCATAATTCAAACACAAAACATTCAAGTCACAATAGAACAATCATATAATTTTATCGAACCCGACCTATAAGTGCCTATAATGTCATTACTTGAATAGTGATAATTCCAATCACGATTTTTTGTCACTAAACAAGTTTTCTTATCGGTATGAGGGTTTCCATGTTTTAAATTAAAAGCTCCTCATCTTTCTCGGTTCATGAAACTCTCTTCTACAAAATTTGATTTCAGTTCCATCTAGGTACAAATACGTTTTTCCCAATTTTTAAACTCCCAATCAAGAGTCGATTAGAGATGACAAAGCCTCCTGAACTTTCTTAATTATCTCAATTTAGTCTCTCAATTATTAATTTTATCACGGTTAAGTTCTTCTATTTAGTTCCACAATTAGATTAACACTGAAGTGAATTAGTCTGAGCTAATCTCCGGTTTGATCTAACAATGAAAATTAATAAGGCTTAATGAAGACATAATTGATAGTTAAATAACCAAATTAAAATTGAAGACAAAGTTCACGGAACAACTATGATTTTTACCCTTTTTTTCATTAATTAGAATTTTGGATGCACCCCAATCAAATGAAAACAGAACTTGCAAATAATTGTAATGGTTTGGTGAAGAGGAACCAGAATCCAGCTGAAGCACAAGAAAGATAAATTAAGTACACAGAAAAATAATTTATAGTAAAGAAAACATCAGTGAGCAACAATGAAAGTCCACAAAGCCTGGTGAATTGTGCATATCAATGACCAAGTAACAATGAATGTCCAGATTGCTCAATCGTTTTCATCAGTTAGTCTTTGTAATGTAATCAAATTCCCTTGGTCTCCAACACTACAATCATGGCAGTGAATAAGATAAGTGAAAAACTAGGGGGGGGGAAGAAGGTAACATTGGCTTTGCTCGAGGCCGAAAAAACAATTCACTATGCACATATTCTGAAGACTGAGAATCAGACATGATTACCAGAAAGAGAAAAAAGGAACCCTGGAAAGAAAAGCAACAGAATCATAACTTCCAATTATTCAGTAACTAATAGACACCCTGTACATAGATGACACTGATGATAACAAATCGCTAAATTTGCATTCCATCTCTCGACAGCCAAAATCCCTCCCCGGGGCACCACAGTACATTTTCAATCAGCACCATTTCTCAAATTCACATGCAGAAAAGTATTAGCTGATGTCACTCAGAATCTTCTACATATCTCACAAAGCATCCCCTGTGCCACCAACTCAGATCAACAGGAAGTGATGCAGCAGAAGACAAAGCCATGGATGCATAGACGAGGTTCCCTTAAACCAATGCACCTAGATCCCTTGAAAACTATACACTTCGAATGGTGTCTACTCTATCAATGACATCCAATGCCTTGATCCGATCAATGTCAAAGTCAATGACCGGGACAGATGATAGTCTCCTAATGGGAAAGGGATCCTTCTTAATTTCCCTCGTTGGAGAGTGACTGCTGCTCTTACTCAGCCTATGGTGCTTACTTAACCTGGTTTTTGCAGTATCAAATTCTTGACTCTTACTTTTTCCCGGGGTTGGTCTCCTTTTGCCTACATCCCGAAGCATCTCTTGGTCTTCGACTGTCAGTGAAGGTGATGGAGAGCTGGGGTGTTGCATTGATAACTGAATTGCTTTCTGACTTGGGGAACGAATTGGGGATTTAACGGGGGACCTGATTCCACAATTGCCAGCAGCCCTTGATTGGCTGATGAGATGGTGAAGCCACACTACCAATTCGAGAATATAGGCTTCGGTTTTCTCCTTATCTGAATGGTGGAGCGTCTCAATCCGGATCAAGTCTGTTTGGCCAGCAGGTTTGCGGTTCACTTCAGACCTAAATTTTTTTTAGCTGTCTTCAGTAAATCAAAAGGAATAAAATACTAAATTCTAGAAATAAGCACCAAACAACAAACTTACCCTGTATTTGCCCATTCTCCAACCCAACCAAAGCCATGATGCGCTCTAGTTTAAACCAATTGTAGTAACAAAACAGATTAAGAATTGACGTCCAAAATTATAAAAACAAAATAAAATATATGAAGACTTAAAGCACGTGTTCTTTGTAGCCAAAAAAGCAAAGATGGCCAAAAAATACGTCCGGTGACCACTTTCAGGTTTGTCCTGTTCCCAAACAAGGTAGTTAGAAAGCCACTTTGGAGGATATGCCACTTATTATGCAAACTGATTGAACTACTTCCATACCACTCTCATTCATGGGATGATGAGCATGCAATTAAAGAAAAAAACAAACTATAAAAGTGGAGTACCAAATATGATCACATCCTGACAGAAATAGATGTTCTTGTAGTATGCCAATCTTACTTGGTTGTATTTGTGGCAATGGGAACAAGCCACTGCAAAGTTTTCTCCATTTCGGCTTTGATTTGGGGGACGGTAAGCTGCAATAACACCAAGAGGAGAACACTTACATATGGCTTAGTAGATGCCAATATATTCAGGAGCATAGTTAAGACAAAGAATGTCCGGATATGCAACAAATTATTACCAGGTAAAGGAGAGAATTTTTTTTTTTTAGTTTTTGTTATTGCGTGTGTTTTTTTTTTTTTTGGAGGGGGGGGGGGGGGGGGGGGGGGAATTATCATGTCTCAGCAAGTATCAAGAAGCTGGATCCATTGGATAGAATAAATACCTCTTCCTTTGGGTGAAATGACTGTAATTTGGAGCGCAAAGCTGATTTTACACTAGGTGGAAGTCCTTGATATAAAGCATCTCTTGTATTTGGAGGCACAGAACTTGATCGAGTTACCTAATTACATCAAGATGTCAAGTAGGAAAAATCAATAATCTACATTATATTGTAAAATTTTTTACTGAAGTACTTTCTATACACAACTGAAAAAATGTATTAGAGCATACAATGAGGATTATTAATTATAATAATTGCCATGAACAATATTCATATACTTTCCATGATAACATAGGTACAAACAGAAAAAAAGATAACACAAGTTTACAAACACAGATCTGTGATTAGATAGCACCTGCACCTCAATGTTAGTTATACTCGATCACCAGAATGTACTTACCCACCGACGCACCCTGCATAAGGAGGACTGCACCAATTGATGATTTTATGGTCATATTTTGTCATACTTTGAGGGTGGACCTTGGCGTAATGATAAGATTGTTCCATTGACCTAGGCATCAAGGGTTCAACTCGCGGAAACAGCTACAGTGATAAAGCTGCATAGTCCCCGCAATTCTAGGAAAACCGTTACAGGTGTTAACCCCTTATATTTTATAATTCATACTCATCTAGTGTGATCACAATTCTAGAAAACCATCTCTTCCTTGGAAATCTATATAAAGAAAAATGGTCTATATTTTTTATTAGTGGATGATTTGGCTAGTGCCAATTGGGATTTAACAGACTTCATAGTTATGATCAGCCAGCAACAATCTATAATAATAAAGCAAAGCCTCCTACTTGATCTGTTTAAACTCCTCCCTTANCGAGCAGCCAGCGACAATCTATAATAATAAAGCAAAGCCTCCTACTTGATCTGTTTAAACTCCTCCCTTAAAAAAGCACAACAACACATATCGTTTAGATCCGACGATTTAGATTACAATTAATATTTTAACCTCATTTAAATTTTAACTTTTAACCTTTTAATTATGGTAACTCATTTAACTTTTAACCATAGTAACTCGACCTATATTTTAACCTCTTAACCACAAAAATTCAATTAAATTTTAACTTTTTANCGACGATTTAGATTACAATTAATATTTTAACCTCATTTAAATTTTAACTTTTAACCATAGTAACTCGACCTATATTTTAACCTCTTAACCACAAAAATTCAATTAAATTTTAACTTTTTAACCATAATAACTCAACCCATGTATTAAAAAAAACGAGCTTTACACGGGACACAATAGTACATGGATATGTAACCACATATGCNTTCAATTAAATTTTAACTTTTTAACCATAATAACTCAACCCATGTATTAAAAAAAACGAGCTTTACACGGGACACAATAGTACATGGATATGTAACCACATATGCTCTGTACCCGAAAGATATATGGTAATCCCTTTTAAATTTTTTAACTAGAAAAAATTTTCTAGAATGAATGCAGAAAATTATTTTTTCCTTAAGGCAGTAACCTTAGACACCAGTAGCCATTTAAAAATTGTTAGAACTAAAAAAAAAAAGGAACACTAATAAAGTAAAACAACACTAAATTGAATGAAAAACTCACAAGTGTATCAATTTGAGTAATAATATTTGCATAATGCAATGCAAGACCGGCAGATCCCAATTTTTTATGGTTGTTTTTGACTGGTCTATCTCCATCTGCAAGGGTACTGTGAATGTCAGTAAAACGAACAAAATCAATTTAAGTTACTCATGGAATAGCTCATATAAGAACTTAAATCATCTATTACTCAAAGTCAAGGAGCAAAATTTAATTTCAGTACATAGATAGGTCAACTTGAAAATGGAAACGGTTCGAAAATNTCAAGGAGCAAAATTTAATTTCAGTACATAGATAGGTCAACTTGAAAATGGAAACGGTTCGAAAATTTTTTGAAAAAATTTTAGAAACAAAATGAAAACAAACAATAAATTTGAAAATTTGTTTGCAAAACATAGTATATACTTTATTCGATACAAACTCATTTTTTTAGGATCCTTTATGATAATGAGAAAGATTCTTTCNTATTCGATACAAACTCATTTTTTTAGGATCCTTTATGATAATGAGAAAGATTCTTGCATATACTCCCAAATCGTACTGATTGAGATATACCAAAATACCTTGAAATATAAGAATTTAAGTATTCAATTACTGATTCATTTCAGTTTCCATAGAAACAGAAACATTTTGGACGTGTTGAAATGATATTTAGTTCCTAGCTTAAAGCACACCATAACAATGCTAAGGGATGGAATAGTGTCAAGATAAAGCACCTACATAAATCAAACTTTACAACAAATAAAAGCTCGTGTTTCCTACCATTTTTTTTCCAAAAAAAAAATAATCTATCCAAATTTGGTTCCAGTGCATTTGACAATCTTCACTCCACTTCAAGGAACTCAAATGAGCTCATCATTAAGTCCTAAGAAGCACAAACACTCTCAAGAAGGTGATGTGTCAATGTCGAACACGTGTCAGAAACTGACACTTCTTGGACATTCTTTGAAACTTATCTGATACTCTTTTAGTCGTGTCTATAATTAAAAGATAAAATCTTAAATCTCAGACACGCATCGGACATTTATTTGGTGAAGCGTCCGAACACTTATTTAGGTCGTATCTACGACTAAAATTAAAGATGTGCCAACACATAATTAACAGAACTTGAAATTTGATAGATTAATACCTTATGCTATGAATAAAATATACAAGTGTTAGGACTAATCATGTTAAAGTTTTATTTAAGTTTTTTTGATAAAAACAAAAGATACATAAAAGTCTCACTAAATAAGAGGACTTAGAAAGATGAGAGTTATCATCATAAGTTTGCATGTTTGCTACACTTCGTCAATTAAACAAATAGATGATGGTATTGGTAGACTACTATAATCCATTAGTCTAAAATTTCATATCAGAGGACTAAACATTAGATTTACTTATAATCAAGTCATGATGGTATTGGTAGACTACCATAATCCATGAGTCTAAAATTTTATATCAGAGGACTAAACATTAGATTTACTTATAATCAAGTGTTGATTTTTTTATATTCTATAATACTATAATCAAATCTATAAGTGGATTAAATCACTTGAGCTACAATATGCAATTACTTCTAGTGCATCATTGACATGTCCGTATCCTATTTTTTTTGAGAAATGATGTGTCCGCGTATTTGTATCGTGTTATATCCGCGTCACCGTATCCATATCCGTGCTTCTTAGTCAGGAAGCAATGAACTCATGTGATGTAGATCGTATTAGGAAAGAATTAGGGATGAGAAAGGAAGAAAGAAGGGATGAGAAAAGAAGAAGAAGGGGATGAGAATAGAGAGAGAATTTTAGAAAGAAGATTCAATATCAATAATCAATAATCAAAGTTTAGTCGCTCAATAAATATGTATCCCCTATATATATAAGGAATTCACAAATCCTATATATATAAGGAGATCACAAACCCTAAAATAAATAAATAATCAAAATGACAACTAAACCCTTAAAAGTTAAAAGAAATTACTTAAAAGCTAAATATTAAAAGTATCTAAATAACTATCATAATTAATCTATAATATCTATCCAATTCCTACACAATCCCCATCATCATGTTTTGTAGAGGGTAAGAATATTTGAGGTAAATACTTGCATAGATCATCCAACCACAATATTTCTTATGCCCCACGTGATTGTATGTTTCCAAATCTTTATGAACTGCAGCACTCTTTTCTTCTCTCTTCAAAGCAATATTTTGAAAAAGAAAATCTTCCAGGGAACACTTCCATGAGATTTTTTTTTTTTTTGGTAAGTGAAAAGGGAAATTACTAATAGTTTAAAAGGAGCAAAATTGATTGGTGCGTGCTGGTTAGAGATCATTTTGCTTTAGCAAATATCCTGTAGTTGTCTGTTTTCGCCCATGCTATCCCTTACTTACCAAACACCTGCCCCCAAGTATTTAGTTTTGGATCTCTCAATGAGTACAAAAACATTTAGGGAGCGTCTAAATTTAAAATATATGTGAGCATGTGTGTGTGTGTATATATATAAGGAGCCAAAAATCTCTCTTTTCTCCCATCCTTCATTGAATTGGGCTGGAGAGTAGAGCAAGGCAGACCCTCATATGACCATTGAGAGAAAATTAAGTTTAAAATTGGTTTGCATACCTGCACTGCCAAAAGCATCATGGATCTCCACATGCAGGAAATGGACAATGTCTACAAGCTTTTCCATCACCTTAAAATGATAAATACAAGACATTAGCTTGGTCCACCAAAAGAATCTCCAGAAATTAATGGCAACAAATTTAAATATAACCACCAAGCCCATGCTCATGCACAACAAAGACATTATTTACTCTCTCTACTCCAAGAAAGAGACATAAAGTAGTACTGACTTGCTACCTCTTCCAAAATCTTGGACCAGAGTGACTTCTTTTTCAAACTTCTTACGTGCTTCTTTTGACTCTTCAATTCTGCCCTTAAAATTGCAAGGCTGTCTCCTAAACATTACATACAAACAAATAAGAAATTATACACACAAATAAATACTAATCATACAGGTCATAATCCACACACAGACACAGACAGATAGGCATAATTAAAAAAGAAACAACAGATTGGATAAAAACCAGAACCGCTGATTAAGTTAAAGGACCAGAGAATAAAGGATTCCACAAATTCTGAAAGGAAGTAAAGTAGACAAAGGAAAGAATTGATCAGTGGAAAGATAGCAACAAAAGTTACAACCAGAACTCCTTAGTCAGAAATTCTCCCTAAAGGGCTCCAAAACTCCACACTCAATCAAATGATTTCGGCCCCTTCGAAAACTCAAACTGATTATTTTTCTCATTAGTAAGCAAAGTGCAGGGAACAAATAAAATCATTATACAGCCAAGCGAAACATCCCCTTGGAGCAACTTCAATCCAATATTTGTTGTTTTCAAAGATGAGGCTGATTCTTGAGAACTATGATCCCAGTTGTTGCAACACTTCTACACAGTTTTTTGAGAAAGGCAATACCGTATCAGCCCAATAATCTCTAAAATGCTTTTTACACGATGTGGAGTCAAGCTCCTAAGAGCATTTCAATTGAAATAACATAGAATTACCAAGCTTAGAAAAAAGAAAGATGGACTGTTGGTCAGGAAAAACTAAATACAAAGGCACCTTATTGATTTCCAAGGGAACTAAAGCTAAGGCCTCAACAGGTCAAAAAGCAACTGTTTCACTCAAAATCCTTGTCCACCCATCACTTCTCATATTTTTGTAGATTTTTTCACTGCAATGACCCAAATACAGTGCCAAACTTTTAGCCTGTTCTCCCCAGTGAAAGACCTTGAGAGATACCCAAGGCACAGAATCTATATCATTAAAAGCAACCAAAAATAACCATGCCAAAGCAAAGAATCTTGCCACAAAGCATATGTAGCATTGAATAGATGGAGGGGTCAGTAGAGGTGCCATTTCTCCTCTTAACATGCAAAACATCCTGAAATATATTGTACATCCCTCTTTAACCATATCTTAGGTTTAGAAGGATCTGCATTAGCATGGTGTAGAAGCAGAAAAGGCACATTTTGACTGTTGTAGCCTGCTCGGTAATTTAAAATTTGGTGAAGCCAGTTCATTAGAGAAGGGCATCAAACGAGGGAAACTGTTCAAACATTACTCATTTTCTATAACCCTCCCCCTCTTTTCGAACAACTTAAACTTGCAAAACACTCATTCACTAACATGGTATAACTATAATTCAAGCATGCGAGGGGTGCGTCCATGATGCAATGATACAAGTAGCTAAGTTGCACCCCTTTCCATCAACTTAAGCTATTTTAATAGTATGTCTGTTTCTGTGCATGTTCTATTCATGGAAGGCACAAACCATAGGAAGGGAAGTGCTAACAGATATTCTTTCATCAAGCTTTTTGAGCAGTTTCCTGTCAAAATGATATCAAACAAAAGTCTTGTGCTGAAACTCTACGACTTTCTTACTAGCACGTTGTTTTTTCATGGAGGTGGCACATTCTCCGTTTTTCGTGTCTTTTTTTCCTTTATAATACATTGATGGCCCATCCATGAGAAGTCTCATGCAAAGAGTGTTGATATACATTGTTAAAACCCTCCCCGAACGTTAAGCTATTATAAGAAACGTAACTTACACACGACAGTTTTTATTCATATTCTTAAATCGACCTCTCATATGAAGCAACTTACTAATTTTGAACTTATACAGACTACCAACATTGTCAAAGTCTTGTGAATAAATTTTTCCTCTTTTTTCTTAGTCTTTTTTTTTGGGTGGGTGGGTGTACTGATTTTCAAGTCCAAGTTTTCACCCAAAAAAATAGAATGTACATCAAGCTTCAAAAGGAAACAGCACCTACAGTTGGAAGAAAAAAGTTAAAACAAAAATGTCTAAGCACCAACATTTCTTATCTTAGGTGTGTTTGGAAATATGCAAATTGCTAATGTCAAATGCTAGAAAAAAGCTCCTTATATTCATGGTCAATAAAATTTCAGGAAAAAAAAAAAAGCAAAATAGAATACACTTAAACAAATAAAAATGAAGACCCAAGAAAGTACAAAATCAAATCGAATCACGAAATCCATAACATAGAGCCCCATGGAGTCTAGAAAGCCAGAGAAAATGAGAAAAAGAATATTTAAAAACATGGAACTCAGGTCCTATACATGTAAGAAAGTAAGAGCGGCCATAGGCCATATTAAGCACCGAAGTTATCAGTACAACCCCAGCACAAGGCTGTTCTTAAAAATGCAATTTTGATTGCAAGCCATACGACTATCCTTATAAACATAACCACAAAATTGGTATTAAATAAACTTGTAGAGCTAGGTTTGGCCAAGCCATTCTTGGAAAGGCCATGACCTGGCTTAAATATGGCACACGTCTAAAATTTCAGATCCATCCATGCAAGCCTGGAGATACCGAGCTACGAATGCCCATGGAATAGGACAATTTTGGAATCACCAAACAAAGTCAACATGCTGGTGACAGGTATTCCTGAGTTCTAATAGCCATCATATTAACCACCAAATCTGGGTGGCTATAAAATGATTACGGTCCTGAAAACTTGACTAAACATACAAGTTCACAACGTGCACACGCAAATGCAAACCTCTATTCTACCATTTTATATCAGTAAATCAATTACATACCATTCTGTATAGCTTAGAGAAATTTAACTTAAAGGAGGAGCATGTTCATAATCTCAGAATTGGGGTACCCCTTACTATTTAGACCTTGCTAATTGCAGTTCAACAATGTTAATCGAAAGATATTGCGGCCAAGACAAACTATAGCTAAAAAGCCGCAGGTAATTGTCAATATACCAAAGGAAGCTCAAAACGATACCACATCAACTGTGATGGAGATAAATTATGTGTGGAGTTTTTTGCTCCATACACTGCAACCATAATCTCATAAATCATTTAATGTTATTAAAAAATAGGATTGGTGTCATTCCTGAGTAGAAGGAAAAACCACAAATGGATTAAAGGAAGTCCATTTAGAGGAACACTAATATCTAGGAACCCATTTTACATCATTAAAAAATAAGATCAGTTTTTTCTCTCGAATAGGTGACAAAAACAAAATGGATTAAAGCAATACTGTTTAGGGCAATACATGTACACACCTCTCTGAGCGGCACTCAAGTTATCCTCTTCTTGAAGCTTTCGCTTGTAATCTTGTTCAAATCTATCCAATGCATGCAATTCATGGTATAATTCCTGCAACAAAATAAGTGCAATCCTTCCTCTGTTAAAATTCTAGGACTTTGCATTTTTTCATACTTCAGCTAGCAATTCAGTATCAAGTCATCATCATCACAGGTTTAGTTCTAATGAGAAAGAAGTCAATAATTCGAAAACAACAAAAGGTTCTCTCGATGAGTTTGAATGACATTCAACTCCATCTACACTAAGATCCTCCTAAGCAAACTCCAAAACCTCTTCCAAAGTTCCAAATATGTGTGTGATGCCATATTGCATAAATTTATCATAACTGCCAGTCAGCTGGTAATTTTGACTCTAGGACACATGGAATACCAATGTCAAATGAATGCATTAGTAGTCAATTTGTTAGTGCTTAATTCTAGGGACAATTTTGCTTAATTTGAATTGTAGGAGTCAATTTTGCTTTAGACGTCACTAGGAGTCTGTAATTACCATAGAGGTTGTATATGCATTGCATATTGTCTTGAAAATTAAGAAGATTCGGTTCTTCTTGCTTAGTTCTTTCTCGAATAGTGCTATGTTGTTCGCTAGTTAATTCCACTACGCAAATTAGTATCGGAGTAGGGAGCTACCAGTGCCCTGGACAACTGAGCAGTCACAATGACCGACTTCCTTGGACATAAATGAGAGGTGGAGGAGCTGCGGACCACAGTTAAACAGCAAACAATGAATCGAGTCAACTGAGCCTCATGATGTTCATCATGCTTCCTTGCAAAATATCTTTGGGCAGGACCCACGTCTCATATCATCAAATCCACCTATGCAGATCGTTCAAGTGACGGTGAGGAGGATGAAATTCTCTTCCAATGTGATCCGAGGGTAGGGAGGCCTCCTTGAGGCTGCAAGATGCATGATCAAATTCGCAAACCCACATAAAGGTGGGTCTTCAACCTTTAAATGTCCAGCTACATATGAGAACTTCCTCGACTGTCAAAAGTAAAGTGTTTACTCGACTATAAGGAGATTAAGGAAAATAGGAAGTGCAAAGAGAGATTGTATCCCACATGACTACATAAACTTGCCTCATTGGACATCTATTATTTTTAACTTTGTGATGTACCTTTTTGAGACATTGCAAGTTTCATTAAGTATTACCCTTTCAATATTCACCCCAGCTTTCACAAACACACTTGAAAGTTGATTCGGGCTTGTTTGGATATGTTCTCAAAAAATAATATTCAAAAACATGTTTTCAAAAAGAGTTTTAGAAAAGAGTATTTTGATTTTATTGTATCTCATAATTTGTTTAGTATATGATTCCGAAAATATTTTTAAAAGACAAATAATTGTAAAACATGTTTGGACAGTGATCCAAAAATAATAAAAATATAGGATACAATTTGAATTAACTCTTTAGTAAAAATATTTTCAAAAAGAACACGAGAGTGAGGCAAGAGTGTGATGTGTTATCGTGGTTTTTTTTCTAAGTCAAGTGTTATACAACATGAGGACAAACAAGATTTACTCATAGAACTCTCAACATTGCATTACCTAATGCTAAAAATTAATCCATGAAATTTATAAAAAAAAAATGAAAACCCAAGGATAGAGGGTAAATGTTGAATGCCCATGAATGCTTACAAAAAATTAACTTCAAAAATTGACCATCCAGCAAAGATGTCATACTTTTCCTCACCGTGAAGAACGGCAAAACAAAGCCAACCATATAGATCCGAAATTTTTGGTTTGCATAGGGCCTATGGAGGAAGTCAACCCCAAGAAAATATGCTAAATTAATCAGCACAAA